GTGTGTGTGTGTGCGTGTGCGCGTGTGTGTGTGTGTGTGTGTGTGTGTGTGTGTGTGTGTGTGTGTGTGCGTGCGTGCGTGCGTGCGTGCGTGCGTGCGTGCGTGCGTGTGTGTGTGTGTGTGTGTGTGCGTGTGTGTGTATGTGTGTGTGTGCGTGTGTGCGTGTGCGCGTGCGTGTGTGTATGTGTGTGTGTGGTACGTCAATTTCGGTGTGGGGCCGCGAACGCCCTCGTTGGTGCGAAGCCACTGGGGCCATCAGTAGGCGGAGCTCCTCTGGGAGCACGAGCCACCTGAGGGGCGTGCCAGATTCGGCGTGGCCCCGCGTGCGCACAGCCTCACCGGGGCTGCAGGTGGAGCTCCCCGCAGGAGCACGAGCTGTGTGAGGGTATGCAAAATTTGGCATCCTCCTCCTCCTCCTCCTCCGCCTCCTCCTCCTCCTCCTCTTCCTCCTCCTCCTCCCTCCTCTCCTCCTCCTCCTCCTCCTCCTCCTCCTCCTCCTCCTCCTCCTCCTCCCTCCCTCCCTCCCTCCTCCTCCCCCTCGTGAGCTCGCATGCGCACGCCCCCTCTGAGGCCAGAAATGGGGACCTCTCTCTGTGAGGGCATGCTCCGCGGTGAAGGGTCCCGCGTGCGCACGCCCCCGCTGAGGCCGTAGGTGTAGCTCCCCACACTGGCCATCGCTCGGACGTCCATTCCCTGTGCTTTTTGTTGGTGTCGTGCGCGGATTTTTCGCCAAATTATCAAGGATCCTCCTCGATGGTCCTCGCCGAAGGAAAACTGCACACGTCCGAACGATGCCAAGCACAGGGACACGATGCGTGTGGTGCACCGGGTTGGTCGTGAGCCCGCGTGCGCACCCCCTCCCACTCAGGCCGTAGGTGGAACTTTCAGTGAGAGCACGAAGCGCTTCAGGGGTGCCCCGAATTCTACGTGGGCACGCATGCGCACGACGTTCCCCGAAATACTGAGCAACCATGTGTTTCCCTGCATGCTGGGTGATCCACATGTTCGATCTGTCTGCCAATGCGCCGTCAGGGCGCGGTTTGCTTCGTTCTGTCGTTCGTTCCGCATGCGCACGTCCCCGCTGAAGCCGTAAGTGGACCCCCCCCTTGGGGGCACAATCCGCGTGAGTGGTGTGCCAAATTCGGCATGGGCCCGCGTGTGCACACACATACAGACGCTGGGGACATTTGTGGAGTTCCATACGGAGGCACGAATCACGTGGGTGGTGTGCCGAATCAGTGTTGGGCCCGTATGCGCTTACACTCACTGAGGCGGGAAGTTGAACTCCCTATGGGGGGCACGATCGCCATGATGGGTGTGCATATTGGTTGTGGGCCCTCGGGCGCATGCTCCCCCTGGAGCCGTACGCGGAGCCCCCCTATGGGAGCAAGAACAGCATGAGGGGCGTGCCGAGCTGGGGTTGGGGCCGCATGCGCCCCCTCTGTGACTGCAGAGGAAAAGCCCAAAGACGAAACAACAACCCAGCCCAAGACTGCCTCGAATACGTCCCCATGAGCGCCCCCAGACTCGCTGGCGAGCGAGGGGGGCAAGTCAGAATGGAGAGGGCCCTCTCACAAGACAGCGGGGCTCCTCAGAAGCCCTCCGGCCTTCTGAGAAGTGTTCTCTGTCTCCGGGAAAAAGCTAAGGCAACTTCTCCGAAGGCCGGGGGGGCTTCTGAGCCTCCTGATCGGCGGCGACGAGAAGGGCGAATAGCCCAGGGGCGGGCATTACACGTATTCGCCCGGGAGTCTCGTCGAAGACATAGAACATCGGCACCCCTGGATACGTGTATTGCTCTCCCCTGGGCTATTCGCCCCTGTCGTCGCCTCTGATCCGAGAAGGCCCCCCTGAGCAGGCCTGCCCCTTCTCACTCCCCCCCCCCCCCGGCGCGCCGCTGCCCCCAACGCTGGGCAGGAGGGCTCGGACAGAGCCCAATGATTGGGCGCCCGAGTTATCCGGGGCAACTCGGGTCCGGGGTAACTCGGGTTTGGATTCCCGGCAAAGGAACCCGAGTTAGCCCTGACCCGAGTTACCCCTGATGATGCGGGGCTCTGGACGCCCGAGTTGTCCGGGGTAACTCGGGTCCGGGGTAACTCGGGTTTGGATTCCCGACAAAGGAACCCGAGTTAGCCCTGACCCGAGTTACCCCTGATGATGCGGGGCTCTGACGCCCGAGTTACCCCTGATGATGCGGGGCTCTGACGCCCGAGTTATCCGGGGTAACCTCGGGTCCGGGGTACTCCCGGATTCCCGAAAAAGGAACCCGAGTTAGCCCTGACCCGAGTTACCCCTGATGATGCGGGGCTCTGGACGCCCGAGTTATCCGGGGTAACTCGGGTCCGGGGTAACTCGGGTTTGGATTCCCGACAAAGGAACCCGAGTTAGCCCTGACCCGAGTTACCCCTGATGATGCGGGGCTCTGGACGCCCGAGTTATCCGGGGTACTCGGGTCCGGGGTAAGTCGGGCTCGGATTCCCGAAAAACGAACCCGAGTTAGCCCTGACCCGAGTTACCCCTGATGATGCGGGGCTCTGGACGCCCGAGTATCCGGGTCTCGGGTCCGGGGTAACTCGGGTTTGGATTCCCGACAAAGGAACCCGAGTTAGCCCTGACCCGAGTTACCCCTGATGATGCGGGGCTCTGGACGCCCGAGTTATCCGGGGTAACTCGGGTCCGGGGTAACTCGGGTTTGGATTCCCGACAAAGGAACCCGAGTTAGCCCTGACCCGAGTCACCCCTGATGATGCGGGGCGCTGGACGCCCGAGTTTTCCGGGGTAACTCGGGTCCGGGGTAACTCGGGTTTGGATTCCCGACAAAGGAACCCGAGTTAGCCCTGACCCGAGTTACCCCTGATGATGCGGGGCTCTGGACGCCCGAGTTATCCGGGGTAACTCGGGTCCGGGGTAACTCGGGTTTGGATTCCCGACAAAGGAACCCGAGTTAGCCCTGACCCGAGTTACCCCTGATGATGCGGGGCTCTGGCGCCCGAGTTATCCGGGGTACCTCGGGTCCGGGGTAAGATGGTACCTATTACCCCGGGGAGAAATAACTCGGGTTAAGATTCCCGACAAAGGAACCCGAGTTGGCCCTGACCCGAGTTACCCCTGATGTTATCCGGGGTAACTCGGGTCCGGGGTAACTCGGGTTTGGATTCCCGACAAAGGAACCCGAGTTAGCCCTGACCCGAGTTACCCCTGATGATGCGGGGCTCTGGGCGCCCGAGTTATCCGGGGTGACTCGGGTCCGGGGTAACTCGGGTTCTGATTCCCGACAAAGGAGCCCGAGTTAGCCCTGACCCGAGTTACCCCTGATGATGCGGGGCTCTGGACGCCCGAGTTACCCCTGATGATGCGGGGCTCTGGGCGCCCGAGTTATCCGGGGTAACTCGGGTCTGGGGTAACTCGGGTTTGGATTCCCGAAAAAGGAACCCGAGTTAGCCCTGACCCGAGTTACCCCTGATGATGTGGGGCTCTGGACGCCCGAGTTATCCGGGGTAACTCGGGTCCGGGGTAACTCGGGTTTGGATTCCCGAAAAACGAACCCGAGTTAGCCCTGACCCGAGTTACCCCTGATGATGCGGGGCTCTGGGCGCCCGAATTATCCGGGGTAACTCGGGTCCGGGGTAACTCGGGTTTGGATTCCCGAAGAACGAACCCGAGTTAGCCCTGACCCGAGTTACCCCTGATGATGTGGGGCTCTGGGCGCCCGAATCCGGGGCAATCCGGGGTAACTCGGGTTTGGATTCCCGAAGAACGAACCCGAGTTAGCCCTGACCCGAGTTACCCCTGATGATGCGGGGCTCTGGGCGCCCGAGTTACTCGGGTCCGGGGTAACTCGGGTTTGGATTCCCGAAGAACGAACCCGAGTTAGCCCTGACCCGAGTTACCCCTGATGATGCGGGGCTCTGGGCGCCCGAGTTATCCGGGGTAACTCGGGTCCGGGGTAACTCGGGTTGGATTCCCGAAGAACGAACCCGAGTTAGCCCTGACCCGAGTTACCCCTGATGATGCGGGGCTCTGGGCGCCCGAGTTATCCGGGGTAACTCGGGTCTGGGGTAACTCGGGTTTGGATTCCCGAAGAACGAACCCGAGTTAGCCCTGACCCGAGTTACCCCTGATGATGCGGGGCTCTGGGCGCCCGAGTTATCCGGGGTAACTCGGGTCCGGGGTAACTCGGGTTTGGATTCCCGAAGAACGAACCCGAGTCAGCCCTGACCCGAGTTACCCCTGATGATGCGGGGCTCTGGGCGCCCGAGTTATCCGGGGCAACTCGGGTCCGGGGTAACTCGGGTTTGGATTCCCGAAGAACGAACCCGAGTCAGCCCTGACCCGAGTTACCCCTGATGAGTCGGGGCTCTGACATGGCGCGAGAACGTCAAGACGACGAGGTAGGCCACGGGGCCAGGCCTCGACGCCCCGACGGGCGCCAAGATGCTCTGAGAGGGACCTCTCGGCCCCGCGGGGCGGCGGCGACTGGCCTGCAGCATCTTCGATGCAGTCGGACCTAGGCTTAGGCCGGGCCTGTCCACCTACAGGATGATGTTTGGCGTTTTTTTGCTTTTTTGTTGTATGTATGTATGTATGTATGTATGTATATATATATATATATATATATATATATATATATATATATATTTGTATAGACATATATATACATATATATATATAAAATAAAAACAGACTCCCCAAATGCTCAAAAATAGTCAAACAATCCTCCCCAGACTATTTCTTGACTGTTTTTGAGTACTCCTCCTGTAGAGGGACAGGCCCGACTTAAACCTAGGCCAGAAGAACATCCTCCAAGAACACGAGACCCTCCGCAGCACGAGACAAACAGAACCCTCCCCAGGATGCACAAAAACATCCAACATGCACAGAGATCTCGAGGGTGCCCTCAGCGAAATCCGACCTCGACCTTACGCCTCGGTCCGACTGCAGCGCCGTCAACATCTCGAACACGTTGCTAAGGCTCAGATTGGGCATTTTCCCCGTCTGGAGACCGGAAGTCGGACGCCACGTGCGAGCAGCAGTCCTTGCCGACGATCCAAAAGTCGTACGACCCTGCCAGCGGAACCGTCCTTACGGGTGCATACAATGAGGTGTTCCCCTCCTTCGGTTCCTCCTCTCACCTGTCATTCCCCCCAGGGGTCGCAGGGCCGGCATGATAAACAATATGCATACGCTGATTTACCCAAGCCCTGTTCCTATTTGTGACGAGGGGGGCAACGCACCAAGTGGAGCCGTACTTGAAGTGCCACGTTCTCAAATCGTCGAAGTGGTTCCCAGGCGCAAAATGTACGATGCCCGCGTCGAGTAGATTCTGCCCAGAGGTGTAGCTGGCGTCGACATCTGACACAACCCTAAGGTCACGGATCCTGTAGTAGCTTCCCGAGAACGTGGAAAAACTTACTTCCCCACTCACTGTGCCCGCAATCGCAGCGATGCCATTAACCAAGGCCAAATACGTCACCCAAGTCGGGTCAGGATTCCTGTGCCGTGTCCAGACTGCGGCAAATACTGCCCCCACCCAAACCGCGAACACTAATGCGAGGAGGCCTCTCACTAAGCTTGGATTGCTGTAGTTAAGCGAAAACGATGTCAGTCCGCAACAGAATATGTATATCCCCCACGGAATGAAAACACCCAAGAACATAGGCACGGCGTTCATCTTGATCCTGGTGCCAGGTGCGAACACAGAGCGTGGCTTCTGCACGCGATCCGAAAGGAGGTACTCAACTTCACGTGATCCCCCCTGGTTGAACAAATGCATCTTGCCCGGGCGCATGCCTGTCCAAAGCGCGGCAGAACTCTTGTGATCTGCCGACATCGATTATGTGATTACATGGCACGGGCAAACCGCGTGAGCAACGACTAGCCTCGAGCCCGAATGGCAATCAAACCAGAGTGCGACAACAACAAGCAACGCAGTGAAAGCTGCGCTGCACTTTGGCATGGTGTGTAACATTAGCCGAGTAAGGGGACAAGCTGAAGCGTACACTACTGCAACTGAGCCGAGCAATCTTAGGTAACCTGGCAGTGAGGATACGACATCTAGGCTGCTTCATACTAATTGGTTGGAATCCGCCGAAGTTCCATAGGCGCTGAGTAGGACGCCCGTCCGCAATTCCCCTTGAATTCCCTGTGCTGAATACTGAAAATGTTCGTTTAAGTGCGGCAAACTCAATTGCCACATCTCCCAAGTCTTCGCGCGTGACTCTTTCCGAGGTAAGGGACTAGGCTTGTCAAGAACCCAACCGTATGCAGCTGCGAGCAGCGCAACGCGCGGCACTCTCGTCATTGGCAGCGCGCGGTGAGAGGTACGTACCTCGGGAACCTGCTTGTAGGACCACGATCCGCGTGAGGGGTGGTGCCCACATGGAGATGTCCAACAAACGAACCGGCCAACACATGCTGTAAGTAGAACTCCCTATGGTGCCACAAAACGTGTGAGAGGCGTGCCGGAATGGAGCCGCCCAGCATGTGAACGTGCCCACTGGGGCTGTAGGTGGAGCTCCCAATGGGGCCACGAGCGGTGAGAGGTGTGCCGAAATGAAGCCGCCCAGCATGCGAACATGCCAATCAGGACAGTTGGTGGAGCTACCCATGTGGCCACGAAACGTGCGAGTGTTGGGGCCGCCCACAATGCAAACATACCCACCGGAGCCTTCGGTGGAGCTCCCTATGCGGCCACAGGACGTTTGGACGGCAGGGGCAAGGAGAGAGAGAGAGAGAGAGAGAAAAAAAAAAAGGGTGCGTAGATCTGAGGCAAGGCAGGGATGAAGGGAGCGGATGGGAGGGAGACGCGCGACGCTGCGGACTCAAACCGAGGACTCAACTCCACACAAAAGGGTTGGGAAACATTCGGTATCGCGCATTATGATGCGATTATTTCTATGTTTTGGGCCCCAGAGGATGATACCACGACGCGGCCTTGGGAGAGGTCTAGTGTCAGGAAGGCCCCCGCGGCCCCCAAGAGGCCCCCAGAGGCTCCAAGACGCCTCAAGAGGTCCCGAAAGAGGTCCCCAAGAGGCACTCAATATGAGGCGCCCAGGAGGCGCACAAGAGGCCTCGAAGAGGCATCCCAGGAGATCCCAAGAAGCATCCCGAATATCTACGGCCCAGAATCGAGGCACAGTGGCAGCATGGACCGAAAGACACTAGATCCGCCGCCCACTGTTGACTTGCCACAGGTGTGCCTGGCGTGCTAGATCCTATACTGCTTGGTTTTGGTTCTTTTTCTGAAAGAACTCCCCCTGAGGCTTCGGTCCAGCGCGCCGGCCACCCGGAGTGCTCTTCCAGAGGTGGCTGCAACCGGTTTTCCCGCTCCAGATAGCTCCAAATAGATGGCACAGGACGGCCTCAAAGACGGGCAATATCGCCTTCAGATTCGCCCCAAATGGTCCAAGATGGCCTCCACGACCAGCCAAGAGCGTCCAAGATGCCACCAAGCTTGCCCAAGAAGCCTCCAAGACGGCCCAAGATGACGGCAGACGGTCCAAGAGGCCCCCAAGAGGCCTCCAAGACGGCCCAAGAGGCCTCCAAGAGGTCCCGAAGAGGCCCAAATCAATGCTTTCTGCAGGTTTTTGAAAGATTTCGGCATTTGCTGCTTTTCGGCCTTCTGACGGCCCGAGACGGCCCAAGAGGCCTCCCAAACGGCCCCAAGAGGGCCCCAAGATGGCCCAAGAGGCCTCCAAGGCGGCCCTGGAGCACCCCAACAGGGCACCAAGTCGGCCCAGAGAGGCCCCAAGACGGCTTCTGGCGGCGTCAGACGGGTCAAGAGGCCCCAAGAAATCTCCAAGACGGCCAAAGAGGCCTCCAAATAGGGCCTCCAGGAAGGCCCGAAGAGGCCCAGATCATTGATGTTGATTCAGTTTTTGCAGGATTTTGGCACTTGCTTCTTTTCGGCCTTCCGACGACCCGAGACGGCCCAAGAGCCCCGAAAGATCGCCCCAAGATCGCCCAAGAGCCCTCCAAGATGGCCCCAGAACGGCCCAAGAGGCCCCCAAGGCGGCCCCAAGGAGCCCCAAGGCGGCCCAAGAGGCCTCCATGACGCCCAAGATGGCCTCCAAGACGGCCCTGGAGCACCCCAAGAAGGCCCCAAGTCGGCCCAGGGAGGCCCCCAAAACGGCTTCAGACGGGCCAGGAATGCCCTAAGATGTCCAAAGAGGCCCCCTAGAAGCCCCCGAAGGCCCCCGCCAGGCCCATGGAGGCCCCGAAGATGCCTCCAAGAGGCTCCCAGGAAACTCCCAGCAGGTACCAAGAGTGCCTCCAGAGGCTCCCAAGATGCCCCCTCTCCCCCTCCTCATGATCGTCCCCGCCATCCTCCCCCACGTGCTCCCCGAAGAGTTTCCACAACTGCTTGGGGGAACACATGGACCGATAGCTCGGCAAAGCTCTTGCCACAACTCTGGGCCACATGGGCGATCCCAAACGGCAAGGGGCGGCGGTGATTCGCCGTAGGCGTCTTCGATGCGCCGCCCCCGTGTTGATTTACCGCAGGGGTTCCTGGCGTGCTGAATGGCTGGTTTTCGGTTCTGGATGAGGCTTCGGCCAAACTCGCCAGCCACCCGAAGGTCGCGCAAGCCGCCGAAAAAACATAGCTCCGTGGGCCCAATCGCTGCACTGACGGCCAAGATGGTTGCCAAGATGCCTCCAAGACGGCCGAAGATGCACCTCAATGCGGCCCGAAACACCCAAGCAGGCCCAAAATGATCCAAGGCGACCCGAGAGTCCCCCCAATGAGGACATACAGGAGCGCGCCCGGAGATGCCCAAATATGTATTTGCCCGTTGGCATCTGAAGGATTTCAATATGTCTTCCTTTTCGGCGACCAGCGGCCCATGACGACACACCAAATCTCCAATATAGCTCCAAGATCGCCCAATTGGCTTCCCAACTGGCCCCATGATGTCCCAAGGAGCCTCCAAGACGGCCCTTAGAGGGCCCCAAGAGGGCCCAAGACCCCCCCCACTCCAAGACGGCCAAGATGGCTCCAAGAGAGCCCAATATGGCCACAAGATGCCTCCAGGACGGCCCAAGATCCATCCAAGCAGTGAAATGTTTCCTCAGGATGGCCCAAGACGACACAAGGGGCCCCAATCAGGCTTCCAGGACGGCCCGAGATACCCCCAAAAAGACATGCAGGCAGGCCCGAAGAAGCCGGCGGCATGGAGTGCCCTGAGGCGTTGACGGATTGTGATGTGTGCTCCAGCTCGGCCGTCCGACGGCCCAAGGCGGCCCAACATACAGTCGGGGCCTTGACCTAAGGAGCCCTAAATAAGGAACGAGGCCCCTTTTTACCATACGTTAAACTTCGATTTCCGATTGAAAACATAAGGAAAGCCGGAGGCAAGCTGCGAAACGCTTAAGGAACGCCGAGCCCCTCCCCAACGAAAAGGGTTTCTTCTTCAGGGCCCCGACTGTACACCCAAGATAGCCCCGAGATCGTCCAAGAGGTGCCAAGATGAGGATGGCCTTATGACGGCCGAAGAAGGTCCCAAGGCGGCCCCAAAGGGCCCGACGATGCCCAAGCCGACCTCCAAGGCGGCCACGATGACTCGAATGCGGCCAAGAAGACCCAATTATGGCGTCCAAGACGGTCCACAGGCGCCTCCAAGATGGTCAGAAAGATGGCCCCAAGACCGCCCAAGATGTCCCCCTGACGACCCAAGAGGCCCCGAAGACGCCCCAAGTGAGCTCCAAGAGGACTTCCAGGAGGCCAGAGCCATGTATTGCCCGTACGGTTTTCAATGGTTGTTGCGTTCTCGCCTTTTCGGGCGTCCGACGCTCCAAGGCGGGTCCAGAACCCCCTATCATCCCCTATCGTATAATATTAGTTGTGCTGCGAGATATGCGTTAACACCTGTTCTGACAGGAGATCGGATGTGTGTCAACACCTGGCAATCCCTCCTTTCCCGTCTTCCTCCTTCCCTACTCCTTCATTCCCTTCCTCCCAGCCCTCCTCCCACCCTGCCTCCTTCCTCTACGCCACCTCCCTCCTCTCCTCTCCCCTTGCCTTTTTTCCTTCCTCCCCGCCTCCCTCCTAACCGCTCCTTCCTCCTCCATCCCCCCTCCTCCCGCCCCATCCGCACCTCCTTCCTGCCGCCCTCCGTTTCTCCTCCTTCCTGCTCCCTCCACCCTCCTCCCTCCCGCCCCCCCTCCTCCCTCCTCCCTTCCTGCCTCCTTCCTCACCCCTGCTCCCTCCCGCCCCCTTCTCCTTCCTCCCTTCCTCCCTCCTCGCCCAGAGGAAGGAAAAACGGAGGGAGTGAGGGAGAGAGGGAGGAAAGGAGGGGGGGCACAAAGGGGAAAGAAGGAGGGAAGGAGGAAAGAAGAAGGAGGGGGGACACAAGGTAGAGGATAAGGACGAGGACAGAAGGAGGAAAGGCGGAGGGAAGGATGAGGACAAGGGAGGAGGGAGAGGAGAGATGGATAGGGGAGGGGAGGAGGACAATGAGGGATGAGGAGGAGGGATGGGAGAGAAAGAGAGAGAGAGAGAGAGAGAGAGAGAGAGAGAAAGAAAGACAGAGACAACGAGGAGGGTGGGCCAATGCTTGAGAATGTAGTCCCACGAGGCCTTTAGGGCGTAGGTGGTCTAGGGAGCTTCCTCTTCCAACCCCCTTCTTCCCCTTCGGGGAGGGGCTTACCCCTCCCCCTACCCCCTCCCCTGGACCTGGACGGGGGGTTCCGCGGGTAGTTGGAGCGTCCAAAACGGCTTCGGCGAGGAAGCCAAACTCATGGCTGTTTGTTTTAATGTGCTGGCTCCATTTGGCCTTCTGGATGGGGAGGGGGCTAACTAAGGAACTCCCCTTCTCTGATCGATCTCCTCCGAGATGGCCCCGAGGGTGCTCCCAAGGGTGCCCCAAGAGGGCCCCAAGAGGTGGCCAGGAGGCCCC